CATCAGAGTCTATCATATCCTTTGGGAAAGGGCCTAGGCACACACCCATGTTTCTTGGCTCAGGGAGTATTCCTCTATTGGAATGGGCTCCCAAAGTTCACACGTATGCTAGGAATAAATACTTGGCTTTTACAGGAGGTCCCATAGATTTCTGAGGCCTCTTAACTGACACCCATGATCAAGGGGTCTGGATCAGTCCTATGCTGGTTTCCCAGCTATCAGTCTGGGGTCCATGAGCTCTCCCTTGTTCAGGTCAGCTGTTTCTGTGGGTTTCACCAGCCTGGTCTTGACCCCTTTTCTCATCACTCCTCTCTCTCTCTGCACTGGATTCCAGGAGTTCAGTTCAATGTTTAGCTGTTAATGCCTGCTTCTACTTCTATCAGCTGCTGGATGAAGTCTCTAGGATGGCACCAGGAGTTCAGTTAAATGTTTAGCTGTTGATGCCTGCTTCTACTTCTATCAGCTGCTGGATGAAGTCTCTAGGATGGCAAATAAGGTAGTCATCAATGTCATTATTGGGGAAGGGCATTTAAGGTAGCCTCTCTACTATTTCTCAGAGTGCCAGTTGGTGTCATCCTTGTAGATCTCTGAACATTTCCCTAGTGCCAGATTTCTCTTTAAACCTATAACGGCTCCCTCTATTATGGTATCTCTTTTCTTGCTCTCCTCTATTCTTCCCCTGACTTAACCTTCCTGCTCCCTCATGTCCTCCTCTCCCCTCCTCTTTTCCCCTTCTCTTTCTCCGAACTCCCCAGCTCCATGCTTCCAATTTGCTCAGGAGATGTTGTTGTCCCTCCAGCTGACCTTTTATAATATATGCATGTATTGGTTCTGTTCCCATAGAGAACCCTGTCCTCCTAACCTTTTATAATATATGCATGTATTGGTTCTGTTCCCATAGAGAACCCTGACTAATATACAGGCTAACTGGGGAAATGAAACAAACATCAGCCAGTAAAAGAATAATGTTTCTTTGTTGGCACCTTATATGACAGAGTTGTGGTTATCCATCATCTACCCTGCTACAGAATATCTCTTCACTAAACTAAAAATTCACAAAGCCAGAGGAAGAATCTAGGAAGCAAGATGAAAAATGAATGTTTCTATGTTGTGCCTACTTTATGAGGTCCCATGTATTTTTTCTGGATGGAGATTGGGTTTGTCAGGAAACAGAACCTAAGGATATTACATGCATCTTCAGGTATACTGGCAGAATTATGTATTTTTATTTTTATATCTGAACATTTTGAGTCAAAATATTACTACTGTCGTGGTTATTTGTCACACATATAAATAGTCTTGAATAATCTGAAGAGGATAGGTCAAAGCCTCTTCAAATAGGAAGGTCATACATCTTATCCCATCCCTTACTGATTCTACAGAATGACTCTAAGAACTCTTGGTTTGTCTTGTTTTTAATTTTTTTACTTAAATTAGAACCAAGATTGTTTTACATGTCAATCCCAGTTACCTCTCCCTTCCCTCCTCCCCTGTGCCCCACTAACACCCTACCCATCCAATACCATTTCTGCTCCCCTGGGAGAGTGAGGCCTTCCATGGGTGGGTCTTCAGAGTCTGTCCTATCCTTTGATATAGGGCCTAGGCCCTCCCCTGTGTGTTGAGGGAGTATCCCTCTATGTGAAATGGGCTCCCAAAGTCCATTCCTATGCTAGGGATAAGTACTAATCTACTGCAAGAGGTCCCATAGATTTCCAAGGCCTCCTCACTGACACCACCCATTCATGGGGTCTGGACCAGTTCCATGCTGATTTCCCAGTGATCAGTCTTGGGACCAAGAGCTCCCTCTTGTTCAGGTCAGCTGTTTCTGTGGGTTTCACAGCCTGGTCTTGACCCCTTTGCCACATACCTACAAACACCTGATTTTTGACAAAGAAGCTAAAAATATACAATGGAATAAAGAAAGAATCTTCAGCAAATGGTGCTGGCATAACTGGATGCTGGCATGTGTCGAGGGCCATGGAAAAAGTAACCTTGGACCTGTAAGAGACTTGGGCTACTTCAGAGAAAGTTGCCAGCATTTTAAGAATAACCCCTTATGTTAAAAGAATAGCTGCCTTCAATCCTTTCCTCCTGATACATAGCATTTGGGCCTATAAAGTAGCTTGTAGAAAGAAAGAAACATTTCACTGTCAGTTTACCTAGCAACCCTCCCCCCTGCATTCTGTAACCCAACTAACATTTAGCTCTTTAAGCCCCTATCTAGACACCTGCACTGTTTGACGTTGCCAAGCATCCTGGACTCCCTGTTTTCCTTCAAGGACTCACACACAGGGACATTCCTCAGTCTGGTTATTAGGCAAGCAGCCTCAAAAGACCTCTCCCTGCCTGCCAAGCTGCCTGTTTGGCACCACTATATAAGGTCCCCGTGAAAAATAAAAATTTGCAGCTTGATCAGAAACCTGTCTTGCTGTGGTTCTTTGTTCTCCCTGACTCTATTGTTCTAGGTTCTTTGGTGACTGCAGCACTTCGGGGTGTGAGCTTGCTTGTGAACTTCTGGGCAGGCATGTAGAAGATTGCAGATAGATCCATGTCTATCGCTATGCACAAAACTTAAGTCCAAATGCATCAAAGACTTCAACATAAATCCAGCTACACTGAACCTCTTAGAAGAGAAAGTGGGAAGTACCCTTGCACAACTTGGTAAAGGAGACAGTTTCCTGAACATTATACCTGTAGCACAGACACTGAGATCAACAATTAATAAATGGGACCTCTTGAAACTGAGAAGCTTCTGTAAGGCAAAGGACACAGTCAGCTCTTGGTTATTTGTGAGATTTAGGATTACATATTACCTGCTGTGATGGTCTGCAAGGGCTGCCCTGGCTCGGAGATGCTCAGGATGAGTTTTCCATCCATAAGAAAGAGGGTCAAACTTCCTGAACCATGCCCCAGTTCGCTAAAAAGCACAAGTCCTGCCTTGTTCCACGTCCGAAACTGAAAAGCGAGGGACATTTTATCTTCTTTTAAATTGCCTGGCAAAGCCAGGTGGCTCTTAGAACTCAGAAAAGTCACCGGAACTGTCTGTGGTTGTGGACATGTGAAAGACACATTTCCCTATAAATAAAACAAAAGGGCAGTTTGAAAAGCCTTGCAGTGGTGATTCTGCCCTATTAAAGATAGACTTGGCAAAGATGTACACAAGGATTTTTACAAAACACCTGAATTTGTATATTATAAAGCTTAAATCTATTTAATTTGTCTTTCAGTGTTAGCATTGTTATCATCAAGTCAGACTATTCCTATGGCAGTTTTGGTGAAATTCTCTACTTTTCTATTTGTCAGTTATTGTAAAGGCATTCAATCTATGCTAATTCAGTAAGAGTTTGTTCTTTTTATTTTATTTTACAGTTCCTCTGCTAGACTTGAGGCTCCAATGGTGAACAGGACATCTCATTATTAGACCAGCTTTCTGAGCAGTACTTGTTCCTCACAGTCTGTTCTATACAATCTCCATAGTTTCATTTGTCCTGTCACCAATGAAAGTGCTGATTACATCTTTAGCACACTCTTATTTGAAATTTCTATGGGTTACATTTTTTTTTGTATTTGGAAAGATTTTGATGACTTGTACATGTACTGGAATCTCTTTCTTCTACACAATTCCTATCCAACCACATGCTGACGATTCTAACAAGTAGCTTTTTAGCATCTTTCAATATCTAGTAAATTATTGTTTTTGTTATGTATTTGCTTTTGGTTTTAATTTTAGATGGAACAAAGGACAGTATTTTGGTATTAACTCATACTATGAATTTCAGTTCCAGAGTAAAAAAACTACAGTAATTCTGATTCTAAATGGGATTGTCTTTGAATTGTTTCTACCAATGCACTAAATATGACTCTAGAGAAAAAGTTTTACTAATGTGTTACGATAAATCTTTCCGCCAAAACCGCCAAGCCCGGTCGCCATGTGTGTGCTTTACGCCAGCTGTCTGCACGAGTTAGGACCCAAATTAAATACACAGAAACTTGTATTAGGTTCAAATGCTGTTTGGCTAATGACTAGGATTCTCATCTGTTAGCTCAGTCTTAATTATCATAAACCTATATATTTTATAAGACTTATCTTATAGAGGATGCCTTTCACTTGGCACCCTCTCTTGCCGGTGGCTCACATGGTGTTGCTGGAGGCAGAAGGGGAAAAAGGGGACACTTCCTGTTTCTCCTTGCTAAATATGAGTCTCCTTGCTATGTCTTCCAGCCTGGATCAACACTTCTCTACTACATTTCCCAGAATCTTCTTTGACTCCTAGTCCTGTCTAACTTGCTGCCATTGGCCAAACAGAACTTTATTTAACAATCAATAAGATAAACATACACAGTACATTCCCCATCACTAATGTAAGATAGATAAGCTAGGGTTATCAAACCTTGCTGAACAGTTGAGTCACCAGTATACTGCTAAAATCTACAACCAAACCAACTACATCCTAGTCTCCAGGGGTGGGCTTGGCTATAGTTTTATTAATTTTCTGTCTCTTCAAGTTAAGAACATTAGTACAATGATATCAAGCTTTTAAAGACAGAATTATATTTAAAAAGTTATCCTAATGTACCTCAGTGACTAACATAACTGAATTTTCACTTCAAAATATTGTTTAATGATATTATAATTATTATAATTGTATATGTGCATACCTGTAAGAAAATTCATTCTTAGTTTTTCTTTCTCTAATCCAGCTGTGGGCTAGTGAGATGGCTCAGTAGTTAAAGACACTTACAAACAAGGCTAGTTGCCTGAGTTCAATCCCTGGGACACACATGATGGGAGGAGAAAATCAATTCTTTCAAGTTGTGAACACACACACACACACACACACACACACACACACACACACATGAATGCACACACAGAGGAAATATAGTATATTTTAAATTTGTTATAAAAATATAAGAAAACATTTGCTATTAAATGTGAAATGATTAAAAGTAAAAGGTACTCTCCATGGTATACATTTAATCATTTGACTGCTAATTTTTAGTCTTTTAAACTAGCTGTAGATATCTTGACTGTGTGGATTGAGTTTGAAAGGGCTGTTATATCTTGAGATATAACAGTTATGATATGTCCAGAGTAATCCTGAATAACTCCCAGCAAGTTATATACACATAAAGCCAATACGGTAATACATACAGCTATATAGAGAGCAGTCAAGATCACAATTGTTGTTCACAGTGTGCCTGTTTCTTTGATACTAGATCAAGATTAATGAATTGTGTCCTGACTGAAGTTAGACCACTCTGTCCTAACCAGTATATGCTCTTCTCTTTCTGACTCAACTTTCAGGACCCATTTGGTCTTACCCTTGCCCATAACCATGTTTCTGTTAGCATGTCCCCCAATAAATTGCATTCTGTCAAATCCAGGCTCTGCCCACTTATTTTTCTTTGACTTCACAGTACCATGGATCCGATTCTCATTTATAGTCTTAATTGTTATGGACTGGCCAGTCTCATTGTTCAGATGGGTAACCGTCTGCTACAACAAAGAAGGGAAGCTTCGTATCTTGAATGAATGATCATTCATCAAATAAGCCAATACTGGTAACTGATTTTGCCAAATTGCAAAATGTTTTCCTTTTAAATGTTGAAGCAACTGTCTATTTTCATAATTAACACATAAAATGGGATGGTTCTTAGACTAGAATTCTTTTTTTTTTCTTCTTTTCCTCTCTAACCTATGGCTCTTAGAATCTTTCTGTCCCCCCTTTTAAAACAGTCCCTAGGTCTTTTGTTGGGGAGGGATATGATAGAGATGTCTCATATGTGACTAAGTATTCCATTAATGCTCATTCTCCATGAGTTCCTTTTTTTGTTTTTGTTTTTTATTTTAGTTAGAAAGAAAATTGTTTTACATGTCAATCCCAGGTCCCTCACCCTCCTCTCCTCCACTATTCCCCCAATTAATACCCCACCTATCCCTTACCCTTTCTGCTCCCCAGGGAGGGTGAGGCCTTCCATAGGGGGTCTTCAAAGTCTTTCTTATTCTTTGGGATAGGGCCTAAGCCAACCCCCTTGTGTCTAGGCTCAGGGAGTATCCCTCCATGTAGGATGGGCTACCAAAGTCCATTTCTACTCTAGGGATAAGTATTGATCCACTACAAGAGGTCTCATAGATTTCCAAGGTCTCCTCACTGACACTGACACTCGCAGACTAGAATTCTTAATTTAACATTTATAGTCTCCTGTGCAAGTGGAAAGAATTCTCTTTTTGTTTGTTTTCATGTAAAACTCACACCTCTCTATTCAGTATATTTGGTAAATCACTTTTTTTTTCCCTCAGTGACATTTAGGACTGAAGAGATGTTAAGACAATTGTGATTCTTCTGATTGTCTATAGTTAATAATACTGTCACTAAATCCATCAAAAATTCAAAATACTAGAACATTTTTATAGATATGGTTTTTATTTTCCTTGTTTCTTTACATAGTCCATTTCTCTTGGTGAAAATATTTTTGATAGTCTAGAGATGTTAAAGATTCTTCTTTTCACCCTGGATTAGAAAATAAAAGATGGCTTTAGGTTCTTCAAATGTTGCATGAGATATCTTGACATGGATGCCCATTGACCAAATGTTTCTTTGTGTGTAGACAATTTCTGAGAACAGCACTTCTAGGAAAGCTGGCTGCACTAACTTGTTGTCATCTTTCTCCCTCCATTCAGGAAAAGCTTTTATTGCAGTTTCTCCTTGACAGAGACTTTAGGTAGATGAGTAATCCATTTATCTGTTTATCTATCTATCTATCTATCTATCTATCTATCTATCTATCTATCATCTCCATCATCTATCTCAATCATCTATTTATATGTCTTTCATCTCTCATCTATCTATAAATCATTTATCTGTATCTCTCTCATATATCATCTATTATCTATCAATCTGTTTATTATCTATCTATATCTGTCATCATCTATCATCTATCTGTCTATATCTATCTATCTATCTATCTATAATCAATCATCTATCTCTATTTGTCTATCATCTATCACCTGTCTATCCTATATATCTGTCTATCTATCATCTATCTATCATGTGTATGTGTGTACATACATCTGTGTTGTTGTGCATATGGAAGCCAAAGGTCAACACTGTCTTCCTTAACTTTCACCACTGTATCATTTAAGATATGATCTCTTACTGAACCAAGGACTCACTGATTCGGCTAAACTGGTCTGGTCATTAAGCCCCTACCTTCCTTACTCTGGGGTTACAGATAAGCACTACTGTGCCCACCTTTTTATATGTGTATTAAGGATCAAATTTGGATTCTCATGATTCTGTAGCAAACATTTTACCAACCAATCTATAAGCCTCTTTACTTACTTTTTGTTTTTATTTGTTTACTTATTTTAGTTATGGCATGCATGTGCCATGGTGTCATTTATATAGAAGTCAGGGAACAACATGCACGAGTTATTTCACTGCTACCATGTGGGATTCAGGCCTCAAACTCAGGTCCTCATGCTTGTGTCTCAAGTGTCTTTATAAGTTCAGCCATCTTGCCACCCTTTCAGTTACTTTTAGTCTTTTCCCATGTAATTTTTTGTCTGTAGACCATTCCTTGTTTTGTTATACTCATTTCCACAAATGCATATCCTTTCATGTATCTCAATGGTCTTTGTCATTTGGGGGTATCTCAGCATGGTGCTATTCATAGTTTCAGACTTGTCTTATTACTGATTTTTCCTATTCTCCTTAGAAGTTTCATGGACTCTATGTTTATTCTAACCCTTTTCATATACCCAAATGATATATTTATTCTGTAGCATGTTGACTTACAGGCAGAGATATCTTCAGAGTTTAGTCTTGTAACCCATATGCCAACTCATGGTAGCATGTAACAGGAAATAAAACACTTAAAATAGTTTGGCTCTAATATTTGTTGACATTAAGCAAGAGCTTGACCTATAATTCAAAACTCAGATATTTTTAAACTTTAAAACATATAGAGAAATTTATTGACTTAGTATGTGGAAGCATTTCCAGTGGGTTAGGGAATAGGTCATTAGGGATTGCAAAATAACTAAGGTCCTGAGAATGATAATAGCCCAAACTCCAGAGACATGTGAACTCTGATATCCATGCAAAAATAGGATGCCATTTTAATTCATATTAAAATGAAATAACTGAACCCTGTGAAGTAGATTTGCTCCCAATTATTTTTCATGCACATATTCTTTCTTTCTCTCTGTTTAAAGATTATTTTATTACGCTATATGTAATATTTGTGTCTATGTGTATGGATATGCACATGACAGCAGGTGCCCATGGAGGCAAGAGGTATTGATCCTGTAGTGATATATTATTTATGATTTATTAAAGCTTGACTGAGGATTCAGAAAATCAAAGTCAGCCACAAGTCTTAGAAGACAGGCACACACCTTTAATCCAGGCATCCAGAAACTAGGAGGTGGTGGTACACACCTTTAATCCCAGGACTCAGAATTATGAAGTAGACTGATCTCTGTGAGATCAAGGCCACGAAGATCTACACAAGAGTGAATCAGTCTAAAAGAATTATAGCTCACACCTTTAATCCTAACATTAGGGAAGTATATAAGACAGAAGCAACGTCTCAGAAGAGGCATTCATTCTCCAGCAACACTGAAGTATGAGGCATTTATTCTCCCGTCACACTGAAGAGAGGCAGCAGTTTGAGGTTCCTAGATCAGCCCTTTCAGCCTGAGGTAGCAGTAAGAGCTAATAGCTGGCTACTTTTCTTTTCTAATTTTCAGCTTTGAGCTTGAACCCCAATATCAGTCACTGGAATCATTTATTTATTTATCATGCTACAGATCCTTTGGTGCTGAAGTGGCAGGTGGCTGTAAACCACCCAACATGTATGCTAGGGACAAAACTTGGGTCTTCTGCAAGAGCGGTATTTGATATTAACCACTGAGCAAGTTCTCCAGTCCCATTTTCTACTTTTAATGCATGATAAAATTGTTATATTATGTGGCAGCTCTTTAAAAATTAGCTTATTTTTTGAAAAAGAAAATATTGTATTAGATAGAGATTTAAAAAGAATCAGCCTCCTTGGGTTGACTACTTTTATGTCAACTTGGCACAAGCTAGAGTCATCTGAGAGAAGGGAGCCTCAATTGAGGAAATGCTTCCATAAGACTGGCTACTGTGTAGGCCATTTTGTTTTTCTGTTAGTGATTGATGTGAGAGAGCCTAGCACATTGTGGGTGGGACCACTGCTGGGGTGGTAGTCCTAGATTCTATAAGAAATCAGGCTGAGAAAACCACAGGGAACAAGCCAGTAGGCAGCACCCTTCCATGGCCTCTGCATCAGCTTTGGCCTCCATGTTCCTGCCCTGTTTGAGTTCCTGTCCTGACTTTCTTTGATGATGAACAGTGATACAGAAATGTAAGCCACATAAACTCTTTCCTCCCCAACTTGCTTTTTGGTCATGCCATTTTATTGTAGGCAATAGAATTCCTAAGACAATTCCTTCCTTCCTTCTTTCCTTCCTTCCTTCCTTCCTTCCTTCCTTCCTTCCTTCCTTCCTTCCTTCCTTCCTTCCTCCCTTCTTATCTTCTGTCTTTACCTCCCTCCCTCTCTCCCTTCCACCTTCCTTTCTTTCTTCCTTCCACCCTTCCATTTCCCTTCCCTCCCTCTATCCCTTCCTTTCTTTTCTCTCTATCTTTCACTCTTTCCTTCTGTTTCTCTCTACTGTATATGTGCATATAAGTGCACTAACCCAGAGTGCATGTGGATACCAGAAGTCAGTCAGGATTTCTTCCTCAATTACTTTTCACCTTACTTATTTGAGGCAGGGTCTGTGACTGAACATGGACCTAGATCATTTTGACTAGCCTGCAGGACAGTGAGCTTCTATGATCTGATCTGTCTCCATACCCCAGTGCTAGGATTATAGGCACATGCCACCACACTCAACTTTTACCTGGGTGCTAGGAAACTGAACTGTGTTCCTCATGCTTGCATAGCAATACCCTGCATATTGAGCCATCTTTCTAGCTAGGAACATTTCTTAGGTGGAAAAATTTGTAATAATTGTTTATCCCTTTACTTCCCTTTTAAGAACTCTTACCTTAATTAGGGTTTGCTGTTCATGTTTCTTGGCTAATTTAATAATATTCACTCCATTATAATAAATATTTTCTAAACATCCACGAAAATTTTTATGTGGGAATGTCAAAGAATGTCCTCCAGGTATCAGAATTGCTCCAAAGCTGATCTTAGAAAGAAAAACAAAAATAAATAACATTGTCTATGATTTTGTGATGATTTATTTAAACCATTTTGATGAACAGATGTTGCACTAATTGTGATAAGTCTATTTGTCTCACTGTAGATTTTCATATTTGCTCATTTCACACAAAGTATCTTAGTATCATGACTTGTTTTGACAACCTAGTTTCTGATTACTCTTGCATGTAAACTTAAAGGAACTGACCATTTTCCACCTAGGAAATACTTGGGGCTTGGTAAATTTAATGGTCACTTTCATATCACTTAGCTAGATCATGGTGCCTTTTAGAGCAGTCATAGACAATGTTTTTTAGTTAATTTTTTTGTATGTATGAATGTTATATCTACACTTGGGCACTAAGTGTATACCTAGTGGTCCCAGAAACCAGAGAGGGCATTGGATCTCCTGGAACTAGAGTTACAGATAGTTGTGAGATGCCTTCTGGGTTTTGGGAATCCAACTCAGGTCTTCTGGATGAGCAACACATGCTTTTAACCCCTGAGCCATCTTTCCAGATCTCTGATGTTTTGTTTTAGAATGTGCATATGTTCCAATAAAACATTTTAAACAATCAAACCCAGTTATTTTTGACCAATATTTTTGGTGTTGGTTTGTGATAGGGCCTCTCTAATATAGCCCTAACTGTACTATAACTCACAAATGTAGACTGGGCTGGCTTTGAACTTGCAGAGATATTCCATCCTCTGCCTGCCAAGTGCTGTGATTAAAGATTATAATACCTCACCCAGCTCTAATCGATAATTTTGAAAATGTAAGAGTTGGTCCGAGGTCCACAAAATACCAGTTACTGCACTGAGCACTATCTTTACATGACAGGTAAATGAAGGCAATCAAACTGTCATATGGTATAGGACTTGGTGTTCCGAAGATGTTGTTACATGGCAAAACCATTTATGCCTGATAGACTTCATAGTTTTCCTCATGTGTTATGACCCTTTCAATACTGTCTTGTGAGAAACTAGAAAGTTTCATTTTATTTAGCAGTGCTATTTTAGATACATGTTGGAAAAAATTACACAAAAGCTAAACCATTTTAAAGAGCTAAGAGATTGTCTATGTGTAAGCATTTGACTCTCTTATTATGTCATAAACATAGTGATGTACATGTAAGTCCTTAGAGTGACTCTACTTAATATTAAGTTCCTTGTGATTATATCAACATAAAAAAGACCCTTAGGAATTTATTCACAGTGAAACAAGAAGTGATATTTTTACAAATAATTAAACTTTAAAGAAATATATTTAATAATATTTATTTCTACCTCAAAATATCTTCATTTGTAAAAAGTTCTAATCCTAACATAATAACTTATTATTTCCTCTCATGGGGAAGAGAATCTATAATAATAAATTATAATAAGTGCATGGTTTAGTGTTACCTGGACATATCTAATACTATGTTGTTAGTCACTGTAGGTCTAAATGACTACAGATTAGTATTTCTGTATACGATTTATCTTTCCAGATTATAATTCCACTTAAATTATACAGTGTCTAACAACCTCAAAATTAAGATCCAAGAAACTGGATTCCTTGTGCATAAAGTCATGATGGATGTGTTTGTCTAAGGTGAAGTTCACATGTACATTGAAGAAGTCAATGAGCACAGAGTGCCAGTGCCAGTCATCCAGAAGGCTGCCTAAGGTGAAGTTCATCTTAGCATTAACAGGGAGCAGATTTCCATCACCTTAAAAAAAGGAAAAACAAAACACTGAATTAGTTCTTTAAAAATCATACTTCCCTTTGAAAAGTGCTATAATTTATATCCATTTCTTTCTTCCCAAACAAGGATCATCTGACTTTGTCATCATCTTGATCATAAGATCTTTAGATGTATTTTTATTTAATTTTAAATAAATATGTGCATGCATCTGCATCCTTGTGGGGGTATGCAGATGTGTAAGTGCTTTTGGAGGCCAGAAGTGGGAGTTGACTCATCTGGAATTATAGGCAGTTGTAAGGACTATCTGAGGATTCATGTACACCGTATATTGGAGATATACATATGCTATATACATTTATTAGCAGTTCTATTAAATTTGCATTTACATTTCCCCATGACATTTCTTCTTTGTATTCATTATTACAGGGTAATTGCAGTGTTTCCTTTACAGGGCATTTACAGTGTTTCCTTTAACTCTCAAAGGCATTCCGACTTGAATGATAAATTATATGGTTCCTTTACTTAGATGAAAAGATCAAATATCAACAGATATATTTTCAGCTACACAGATTGTTTAATTACAAGCACTTTTTTTTACCTGAACTAAGATAAAGGACAAGCTTTCCATTGACTAATTCCAAAACCATTTGATTCCCATGTTGTCCTTTACCATGGAATATAATTCCACTGCTCTGCATGGCTTTAAATTTAAAGGAAATAACATCTCTTATTGGTCTTATGGCTCCTTTATCAAATTTGTAGAGGAGAGAACTTTGTCCATCGAAATAAACCACCTCAGATTCTAGGAAAGAGGATATTGATAAACAGTAATATATAACATAATGAACATCAAAATATGTGGCATAATATAGCATGCACATATTCGTACACCCACCCCACCACCACCACACACACACCACTGGTTCTATCTCCCTAGAGAACTCTAACCAATTCAGGCAGACAATTTCCTGATGTCATGATTACTCAGTGCTTTGTTGAGAACACACTTCAGTAGCACTATTTTGGGTCTTCCTGCTACAAGCCTGTCAGAACTATAATTCTGACATTTCTTTTGGACAGTGTCTTATAATTTAACTATGAATGTCAAAATATTCCAGTTCATCAAAAACAAGTGTTTTTTAAAAAATAATAACAAAGAATGTCTGTGAGAATTAGTTGAAAATTGAACAGTGAACAGATAAAGAAATAAATTTTACCCAGAAAAACCTACTATTATTTTTAAAACTAAAAGAGGAGAGAAAGAAATAATTGTCTTTCAAAAAATATATTTGTTTAAGGAATAAAGCTGCACAAAAACCCAAAATAACATATAAAGCTACTTAGAGCTGGATTCAAGCCAACAAGATATTATATGTATTCTACTGATTTCATCAATATATCACTTAGGCAAAAGCAAAGGACACAGTCAAGAAGACAAAACAGCATCCCATAGAATGGGAAAAGATATTCACCAACACCAAATCTGACAGAGAGCTGATCTCCAAAATTTAGAAAGAACTCAAGAAACTAGTCTCTAAAACACCAAATAATTCAATTAAAAAGTGGGATACAGAACTAAATAGAGAATTCTCAATAGAGGAATCTAAAATGGCTGATAGACACTTAAGAAAGTGCTCAACATTCTTAGCGGTCAGGGAAATGCAAATCAAAATAACTCTGAGATACCATCTTACTCCCCTCAGAATGGTTAAAATCAAAACCACAAAGGACAGTTTATTCTGGAGAGGATGTGGAGAAAGGGAAACACTCTTCCACTGTTGGTGGGAGTGCTAACTTGTACAGCCACTTTGGAAATCAGTATGGAGATTCTTCAGGAAAATGGGAATCAGTTTACCACAAGACCCAGCAATTCCACTCTTAGGCTTATACCCAAAAGATGCACATTCATACCACAAGGATATCTGTTCAACCATGTTCATAGCAGCATTATTTGTAATAACCAGAACCTGGAAGCAACCTAGGTGCCCCTCAACTGAAGAATGGATAGAAGAAATGTGGTAGTACTCCATTTACGAAATTATGTACATTGTGTAAATGGAGTACTACTCAGAGGGGGAAAAAAAAACCAAAACAATGGAATCTTGAAATTTGCAGGCAAATGGATTGAACCAGAAGAAACCATCCTGAGCGAGGTATCCCAGTCACAAAAGACAAACATGGTATATATACTCACTCATATATGGATTTTAGACATAGAGCAAGGAGTACCAGCCTACAATCCACACTGCCAGAGAAGTTAGGAAACAAGGAGGACTCTAAGAGAGACATACCTGGTCCCCTGGAGAAGGGAAAGGAACAAGATCTCCTGAGCAAATTGGGAGCATGAGGGAGGGGAAGGGTGCTGGAAGAAAGAGAAGGGGAGAAGAGGAGAGGAGAGGAAGACATGAGGGAGTAGGAAGGTTGAGTTGGAGGGAGAATAGAGGAGAGCAAGATAAGTGGTACCATAATAGAGGGAGCCATTATAGATCTCAAGAGAAATCTGGCACTAGGGAAATGTCCAGAGATCTACAAGGATGACACCAACTGGCACTCTAAGAAATAGTGGAAGGCTACCTTAAATGCCCTTCCCCTAAAATGAGAATGATGACTACCTTAAATGCCATCCTAGAGACTTCATCCAGTAGCTGATGGAAGTAGAAGCAGACATCCACAGCTAAACATTGAACTGAGCTCCTGGAATCCAGTTGCAGAGAGGGAGGAGTGATGAGCAAAGGGATCAAGACCAGGCTGGAGAAACCTGAACAAGGGAGAGCTCATGGACCCCAGACTGATAGCTGGGAAACCAGCATAGAACTGATCCAGATCCCTTGAATGTGGTGTCAGTTAGGAGGCCTAGGCAACCTATGGGGCCTCTGGTAATAAATCAGTATTTATCCCTAGTATACGAATGGACTTTGGGAGCCCATTCCACATAGAGGGATAGTCTCTCAGCTTAGGCACATGGGGGAGGGCCTAGGCCCTGCTCCAAAGGATATGACAGACTATGAAGATTCCCCTATGGAAGGCCTCACCTTCCCTGGGGAGCCGAAAGTGGATAAGATAGGGAGTTAGTGGGGGGCAGGGGAGTAGGGGATTGACATGTAAAACAATCTTGTTTCTAATTTAAATTAAAAAATGGAAAAACACTAATTTCAAAAAAACAGTAATATATAGTTATCCTTTCATCCAAAATATGCAAAATATATGTGATCAATAATGCCACTCATTTATTCTACGTGAAAATTTAGAAATCAGATTTTTTCTCACATTGGATTAGTATACTTTTGAGAAATTAGTATGTCAAGCACATAATGAATACATCTCACTGTACATGTAACAAGCAATTACTCCTTGTTACATAGCTGATTTTACATGCATGATTAAGAAGCAAAATTCTTGTCAAATTCAAATAGCATCATTTGTAGTTATGAGATGGAAATAAGACAAAGGAAACTCTGAAACAACTAAGCAAAGATTTTTCACATCTTATAACTTCATTATCCCCATTTTCCTTTGTCTTCAAAAGTGCTATTTAGAGTATTTATTTTATTTTTTTAAGTTTACTAACAAAATTGTCATTCCTGAAAATGCCTTGCCTGAGTCATTTCAACTTGTTGCTTTGTATAATTTGTCTTATTCTCAGCTTGACTGCTACTCCTTAACAGTGTAATATTTTCTAAGACATGATAAGGATATTTTTAAATATTATTCTTTAGGTAAAATAAAATAGAAAAAAACAAACCCAAGAAACTTTATCAGGATAAGAGTCTTGGAGCAGTGACCTTGAAACTTGTTCTTTTGGTAATAACTGGGTTTCTGATAGTTACTGCAAACACTTATATCTCAAAATTTAATCATGTGTTCTTAGTTCATTATGTGTATGCTAATAAAAATGAATTAACAAAAACCTCAAACTTAACAGAAAATATGGGCAACACTAGTCTGTGCAGTAAGCACATGATACAATGAAGCTGGACAAAAAGAACCATGCTCAGGATAGAGAAAATGGCGCCCCCAGCGTAGGGCAAGAATTTAATTTTCACATCTTCTCGAAAACGTAATCATCCCACCCAATGAGCAAGCTTTGAAGTCTAAGGATAAGAAGAAATTTAGGAGTGAATCTGCTCCTCACTTAGCTTTAGAGTCATATTTTTAGAAGTTCAAAACCCTTGTAAATGCAAAGGAAAGTGTTTATAGCCATAATCAATTACAAACAGATATAAATAATCCACCACAGTATATGTTTGTATTAAAGCACTAAAATAATACTATTCAATAATACATTTCTTACAGTATTTTCCCAGAAACATTTAGGAAATAATTCTTCGTATGAAAACAATTATAAATTCAGAAATGGAGAAAACTACTGGAAAATGAAAGGTACTTATGGTTTCACTATGAATTCAAAGTTCCAAAAAACTTCAGAATATAGGACCTGGCACCACAAATGAATGGAGAAAAAGCAGCTCTTTAGGGTATGGTATGGTCTTATTTTACATGAACTTAGTCTACATCTACTATCATGATTAATTGAGGTCTTAACTTTGATTACTGAACCTATACTATTACTTAACAGCATGACTCTCCTTACATTTAGTGCATCAGTATAAAGATCAAGGATTTTGAGAAGATGATAACACATCAGCCTGAAGAGATGGCTCAGTGTGGTAAACGTAAGGACCATGCAAGCATAAATACCTGACTTTGTATCCCCGATTCTATTCAAAAAGCTAAGTGTGGCATCACATGCCTGCAATCCTAGCACTAGAGAGGCAGGCAAGAGAATCCCTGAGGCTTGTTGGCTAGAAAGTCTAGCTGAATCAGTGAGTTCCTGACTCAGCAAAAAACACTGACGTAAAAAAAAATAAGGTAGAGAAGGGATTGAGGAAGACCTGAAAACGTTGATGTTAGTCTGGTCTCTACATGCTACACACACGTATATGTACACTCTCTGTCTCTGTTTCTCTCTCTCTTCACAGACAAAACAATGATAAAAAATTATTTTGAGCTCTGTAAGAGATCATCAGTTTTCACATGTAATTGTTGCACCTGACTAACCTGACTAACCTGATTAATGAAGCTGGGATTCATAATTATCTGCATTTACATGGCTCTTTCCTTGCTGGCCATTGTTAGTATTCAGGCATCTGTACTGGGCTGTCCTTGGGGTTCTGACAGGACAATCCCTTAGCTGTAGCCACTAAGAGCACCAGCTGTGCACATTCACTATGTCCCCTTATAAAGGGCCCTGACTACCTCCCACCCCTCTTTTTCTTTCTTTCCCTCTGTTAACCCCTCTCTCCTCTCTCCTGCTGCTCCTGTCTCCCACTTTCCTTTTTCCTTTTTATGATCCCTTTCCCAATAAAAAACACCTCTACCTGAACCCTGGCACATAGCATCTTACTCTGTGTGCTGCTTTTCTTAAATCACAATAGCCATAATCTATCCAGGTTTTCTTCAGTCAATCCTTGTTGACCTAGCTCGTATTATTCAGAAATATGTCTATCTCATTTTTTCATGTTAGAGGACAGAGAGTTTGAAGATTATTGGTGCAATTATTATACTACTGCACTTCTCTCAAAGAATATCAGAAAAGAGCTAGTGGCAGATACGTTTGAAGGTCCTCAAATATTAATTCCTCTAAAAATAAAGAACAGATAGCAATCATATGTTTAGAAAGAACTGTGTCAGAAGTAATCATCCTCAAGTCCTGTTCTGTCTTCACTCAAGCAGCAATGAGTTAAAACATTTTAAAAAGCAGGAGCAAGCAAGAGTCAATGAGCTGTGTATTTTAGAAAAGAC